TTATATCAGGAATGGATATATGGTGTCTGTGTATAGGTTTGTATAGGTTTGTAACCTGAGCCAGCACTACAGGAAGAGGCCCTGAGCTGCAAAGGGAAGTTCTCCCCAAGCATGAGAAGACATGAGGATTTAAAAGGAAGAGCAGTAAAGAGAAGGGAAACTACCATGGATTACAGTAAGGCGCACATTACAGTATTGGTTTATGTAAAAAAATCTGAGGGTTTAATGTCACTTTAAGTCTTTATCTCACATGCATACATACTGGGTCCAATTTAGAAAGGAGCCAATTAACCTTTCACCATGTCCTTGGAGTGTGGGAGGAAACCGGAGTACCCAGAGGAAATCCACACAAGCACAGGGAGAACATACTATACATACTCTATGCAGGTAGTGTCCTGGTTGAGACTCAGACCAACAACCCTAGATTTGCAAGGCAGGAGTGCTAACCAATGAGCCAGGGTCGACCCGAGGCAGGATGTCACCCAGAGCGTGTACCGGGTGACACCCCGCAGTGACATTGTTGCGCATGATGTCATCGTGCATGCGCATGATGACATCATGCGCAGTTACGTGCCAGTGCCCATCTTGGTGATGGACGCCGGCAGAGAGAGGAGGGCACATTCACCCGGCGGCATAAGATATGCTGTACCTTCCTTTCTCTCTCTCGAGCAACTGTCGTGCTAGGTCCATGACCGAGTGCCTGACTTTTCAGAGGGGGTGACACCAAAATGACTGTGAGTCACCCCTCCAATGGTGTCACTGTGCCCCCCCCCTAGTGACGCCAATGTGCTACACATGGCATATGCTCACTTAGCACAAGCTCAATTGCAAGCATTTAATTGTGCACAAAATCTATTTCTTATGTCTAGAGTTACACAAAACTCTGACGATGAATCCGGGTTAATTAAATAAAAAATTAGCATAATAAAACTCCAAAATGTTCTATACAAACTTATTTCACCCATTGGCCAATCAGGTCAGATGTGTTTTAACATGTATAATGCTCCCTTTCAAGACTACTGTGAGCTGCACTCATGACGATTTGACCCGGAGGCAGCGGCATCCCTGGGGTCCAATGGCCGGTCTTGCTGCAGATAACGGGAACCTTTATTCCAAGGGGTCGCGGAAGATTAGCCAACGTTATCGTCCAAAAATGACTCCCGAGGCATTTGGTTATACCATGGGTATTGCATATACTTCTCCGGGTTATTTCAAGTAAACAATTAATGGGTAGTGGCCGGAATTTTTTTTAACTGTGCCAGAAAGTAATTTAAATGGCTGTGTTCCATATCAAGCATTAATTAAAGAACAGCGGGATAATTACAAGCATCATCAATATTACCAGGAACATCAAATTGTTCCAGAGGGGAGCCGTTTAATTGGAATCACTTTACTTTTCTACAAGTTGTGCATTATTATTATTACTTGCTTCAGAGTACCCTTGGTTATCGCTGCCGGTAGGAATTCAATTAATTGTGTTTAAAGACGATTGTTTACGTGTTTATTTCTAGCAGAGAGCGGGAAAGAAGGCAAAAATACGTATGCGTCCAAACGGTTCGATTAGCAGAGGAATAGAAAGACTTCACACTGGAAGCTGAATTCCTGGCCGATATATAAAAGACTAATGCAGCTCTGTATTTATTAATTCATCAATATATATATATATATTTTTTATTTTATTGTTTTAAAGCCAGCAGTGTTAGTACTTGAATTTGATCAGGTATCAGGTTTTTCAAATCTGCTGTGCAGCAGAGCTCTGACTGGTAAAAGCAGCACTAAAAAGAAGTTATTTTGCTGCAGTGTTCATGTGCCAACAAAGAGCATGCTGGTAGGAAGAGAGAGCAAAGTGACAGAGAGAGGAGCTCATCAGTATGCTGCTTCTCCTTCCACTGTCCAGTAACATGCTGCTAGAGAGAGAAGGTCCGTTAATTACCTGTGGCAGAGAACATTTAAAGAAGAACTCTAGGAAAAAAATGTCTTAACCCTTGAAGTGGGGCACTGCACGGGTTAAGTGCTTGTTTTGGTCTAGGTGCAAAAAAATACATAGTTATACTCACTTAAATCCCTCCAGCTTGTCTCCTTCTCCGCTAAAGCGATTGTGTGTCTCTTGGTGTCCTTTCGTACAATACACAGTGTATTGGACGTGATAAGTAATGGGACCTCAGACTACTTATATCAGATATATAATCACATACAGGCTCTCCAACGTGACTCACTCAATAAAAGTTAGAATCCATTGATCTGCCCAAGCAGAGCAAAGCAACAGGTTCCCTTTAATATCTTGCTCTCTTGATGTACATACTTACTGTTCATTTACTCTCCTGCTGTTCTGAACACTGGGAAAAAGGAAGAGGAACAACTGCAGGGGAAGGGGAAGAACTGCAGGGGAAGAGGAAGGGGAAGCGAAAGGGGAAGAACAGTAGGGGAAGAGGAAGAACATCAGAGGAAGGGGAAGTGGAAGAACAATAGGGGAAAAGGAAGAAAAAGAACAGCAGAAGAAGAGGAAGGGGAAGAACAATAGGGGAAGGGGAGGAGAAGGAACAGCAGGCGAAGAGGAAGGGGAAGAGGAAGGGGAAGAACAGCAGGGGAAAAAGGAAGGGGAAGAACAGCAGAGGAAGTGGGAAAGGGAAGAAAAGCAGGGGAACGGAAGGAAAGGAAAAAAAAAGGGGGGAGAGGGGAAGAAAGGGGGGGGGGGGGGGGGGCAAGAACAGGAGAGGAAGGAGAAGGGGAAGAACAGCAGGGGAATATAAAGGGAAAGAACAGCAGGGGAAGGAAAAGAACAGCAGGGGAAGAAGAAGGGAAAGAACAGCAGGGGAAGGAAAAGAACAGTAGGGGGAGAGGAAGGGAAAGAACAGCAGGGGAAGAGGAAGGGAAAAAACAGCAGAGGAACGGGAAGAACAGCAGGGGAAGGAAAAGAACAGCAGGGGGAGAGGAAGGGAAAGAACAGCAGGGGAAGAGGAAGGGAAAAAAACAGCAGAGGAACGGAAGAACAGCAGGGGAAGAGGAATGGGAAGAAAAGCAGGGGGAGAGGAAGGGGAAGAACAGCAGGGGGAGAGGAAGGGGAAGAACAGCAGGGGGAGAGGAAGGGGGAGAACAGCAGGGGGAGAGGAAGCCCTGCATAAGCTGTACGTTGTGATTGAGATTCTTTTTACTAGGGCTAAGGACACTCTCTCCCACCCCCACATGACAGCGCTGGGTGCCTGAGCAGCCAATTGTCAAGCACCAGCGCTGTCACAAGATCCCTTGTGCCCAGATGACCTTGATATTTTTCACCCAGTGGTTTAGCAACCAGTGCAATAGTGAAGAAAAGGTATTGAAGATGGGGCTGCCATTAAAGTCAACCTATTGCTTCACCCTGCATGAGCAAAGCAAGATTTACTGGGATACGTTAAGTGAAACAGTCACATACTAGCTGCCTGACTGTCAAACTTGATCCCCTTATTTAAATACTTTGAGACAATGACCCTGAAGGTTGTACAGATAGAAAGAAACAAGACAGGTAATGGGTACTATTTAAATGTGATTTACCACCTAACCATGGAATACGAATTTTACCAGAATGGCACTTTAGGAAAAAAAAGTTCTTCTGAATTGAAAATATGAAATATTGATTACCAAAACTTTTAATTAACTGATCTGATTAGATACATTGGGTGCCTTGAATATACTGCATTAGCATTGGGTTTTCTCCAGTACTCAGAAACCACCATTGCCATTATATAAAGAGAGATCTAACCATCACATTAAGGCTGGCTTCACACTTTTCCACTGTGGAGCATTGCATTAAGGCACATCTTTCCATATATTCACATTAATTAAGGCGAGCCCATTCAAATGAATGGGTTGGCACACCATTTTTGTCACTGCAGTGCACCACAACACACAGCAATAAGTTAGCCATGCAATGTGCATTGGTACTGTGTTGCCTTAGAGCGTTAGGGCGCCATTCAAGATGAATGCACGGCAATGTGCTAACACATGTAATTGCAACAGACTGCAGCGGAAATGTGTCAACTCACACTAAAGCATTAGCCATTTGTTCCAGAAATAAATGTGAAACCCTTTTGGGTTTATTTATAAACAATCCGCAAAAGCCTTTTTCCTGCAAATATCTGCACATGTTCGTTTTTGCAGAATAATGGCAAAAACAAATGTTTTTATTATATATTTATTCCAATTCCAATGTAGTATTGTTGTAACAATACATTATGACCACTAGATGGAGCTGTGGGGCATAGGAAATAAGCATTTATTACCCATGCTCCCCTGCTCCATCTAGTGGCCGTAATGAGTTATTACAACACACTACATTCTAACAGGGAAATAAATATATTAGGAAACATTTTCTTTTGGCATTATTCACCCCAAAACTAACAGTCACAGATATTCACTAAGTGAAGGGCCATGCAAATTTTTTATAAACAGACCCCTTAATGTTTAGCGAATGGTGGGTTCACACCTTTAGGAATCTTCCATTTGGCCTGCTTGCTGCTCTCTAAAAAGGGTGAATTTCAAGCCAGGTCTATGAAGACTACACAGGATCCTATAGTTGTGCTCTTTTAGGTTCAATAAGTTTTTATTAAGAAAGGTTTTTCAAAGAAATTACAGTACAGTTAGGGAGATCATACATCTTGAACTTACAAACTGTGAGATATAAAGGCAATCTTAGTATTTATGTTCTAATATTTCACGGATTTATCCCCATGAAGAGCATGGAACAAGAAGGGAAAAGAACAGAGAGAGAAGTTAGGGAAAGAAAAGGGGGAGAAAGCCAAGTAGATAAAGGTATGTATTACAATACAACCATTGGATTGGAATTGGAAAATCAGTTTAAGGTTTCCAATAGGACCAAGCAGCATAAAATCGCTTTGTGGACCCATCTCGAAATGACACAATTCTGTCATGCTAGTCGTGCTCTTTTAAAGGTAACAGGTACACTTTCTGTGTGATTCACATGTGTCTGATCAATATTATCCAAGGCTATTTACATCTAGCATTTCTTTTTCCTGAGCATCCTTTTTTTTATTATGTCTTTTAAATATGTTTACTTAAACGTCAGCCACCTCTTGGGGTTCTCCAGAAGTATCTTGTCTACACTTTCACGGGATATTCCTCTCAGCAACATTTTGGGAACAATGTTGTTGAGGATATGTGAGTAGCCGTGGCCACCATATTTCACCAGTCGGTTCTTAGTATGTATGTCATGGGAAATTACAATTCTGTCTTCATAGCCGTGACTGATCAAGGACCTCAACCTGAAAAACAAACAAACAAAAAAAGCATAAGGGGTGCACTCTATACCATCCGATAATAACTATAATGGCTTTTGGTCAATTTATATTATTAGTTTTACAAAGAAGCATTCCTTGCAGTGTATGTTCATGGCTCTTTATTGAAAACAAAAAAACATGCTGGGCTTTCTAACAGGGAAGCCCAGCATTACCTGCTGCCTTGTTTGCTATCAGAAGGAGAAAATGGTTTGTTTCTTCTCCAACTCATTTACCGTATTTTTCCGTGTATAAGACGCTATTTCTTCATAAAAATGTTTACCTAAAAATAGAGGTGCATCTTATACACGGGGGCCGCGGTTTAGAAACTGCTGAAAGTGCTGATACCACTGCAAACTAGCCTCACAAGTGAAACTTCGGAGTGCATAGACAAGATAACAGTTCTCCTCCAATTATAAATCTTTTGTACCTGACATCAGCTGTTGCTGGGGAGAGCGTGTAGACAGTGCCCAGAGCGGTAATGTCGGAGCATTCTGTGACCATAAAAATGTCAGAAAATAAAAAACAACCTGTAAAGCAGCTGGCTTACTCTGCAAAATTTAAACTTGATGTAATTACTTCTCTATTTCCATGCAAAAATTATCTTTATTTCCATGCAAAAGAGCATGGAAATAGAGCTGCAGAGAGACAATTTGGACCTCCTCCCACTGAGTGTATGATCAGACAGTGGAGAGAACAGGAAGAGCAACTCCTTAAAGGTGCCCATACACCTTACGATTATCGTACGATAATCGTATGCGATCGACTTTTCGAACGACAATCGTACGTGTGAATAGAGTGCCCGAACCGACATTACTGTACAATCGTACGACTTTTGACGGTCAATCATGTTTGAAAACTTTGCTCGATCATACGATTGTCGTAAGGTTGCTGGCGTTTCCGTCCGTCAAAAGTCGTACGATCTACACTGCGCATGCGCGAACGAAAATACGACAAATCAATTACCGCATTTCGTCCAGGTGCTTTTCGTTAATTACGGCTAAATTAATCTTGCGATCATCGGGGGCAGGATGGGGCTGCCGTACGAAAATCGTACGACTATTCGATCATCGGACAAAACGTTTCGTCCGATAATCGTAAGGTGTATGGGCACCTTAAGATGCCCAGAAAGAAGAAGGCCTTGAGAGGAAAACCAGCAAAATGGCCAAACTTGGAGCAGTGGCTTAAGACTAGGATTTCTTGCCAGAAACCAGTGATGCAACAGAGGCTGAATAAAGTGATTGGCTCAGAGGTAAGTGTGATGCATAATATCATTTAAAATATTGATTTCTGAATTTTGGGTAAGAAAAGTTGGGGGCGTCTTATACATAGGGGCGTCTTATAGACGGAAAAATACGGTAAGTTTATTTTTTAACACAGCAGCTGCCTGAAAGAAACAGATTTGACAAAGTACACCCATGCATACTACTCTACATGCTGATGGGAAGTGGGTAATATGAAATATTCTTATGCAATATTTCATGATTATTTGAAAAACAAAATATATATATTTTTTTACATTTATTTGGGCTTAAACAAAACTGCAAATGTATATACAGAAATATTTTTTTCCATTGAACAGATTAAACCATCATGGGAGATCTATATACATTTGAATGCGAGAGAGGTTTGTTCGCTTCTGGAGGTCCAGCTCTAATCTATTACCCTTTAGACTATATACATACAAACTTTTTCTAGTCCAGTCCAGAAACATTTTTTATTGTCTGCAGCCACAAAGGATTTGTATAGGCATTACCAAAATCTGTAAAAATATATAGCTTTTATCACTCCCTGTCACATCACCAGGCTTGCAAAATTCTTGCAGGTACAGCTGCTGGGAGAAGGGATCAGCAGGGTACCCTAGGCCAGTTCCTATTAATCTGGGCACCCCCAGAACTACATCCCCAACAGCCCTCTCCCTGGATATGTTATGTGGGCGGGATGTGTATAGGCATGACCCAAATTTATCCCCAAACTTCCCCCTTCCCCTCTTGAGTGTGTACAAACATTATTTATTTTCTGCTACCTTGTTTCTGTAGTGAGAAACAGCTTTTATCACTTCCTGCGATATCATATCACCAGGCTTGCAAAAGTCTTGCAGGTGTAGCTGCTGGGAGAAGGGATCAGCAGGGTGCTCTAGGGCAGTTCCTATTGATGTTGACCCACCCAGAACTACATCTCCCAACAGCTCTTTTCCTAGACATGGTATGTAGGCAAGATTTGTATAGGCATGACCCAAATTTACCCCCAAACTTCCCTCTCCCCATCTTGAGCCTGTACCAACATTTTGTTTTCTTCTAAATTGTTCCTGTTGTGAGAAACAGCTTTTATTACTCCCTGTGACATTACCAGGCTTGCAGCTGCTGGGGGGAGGGGGGGATCAGTAAGGTTCCCAAAGTCAGTTCCTACTAACATAGGCTCCCCAGAACTGCATTGCCAAAGAGCCCTTTCCCTAAACATGTTGTGAGGAGACTCTTGGGAGCCCAAACAGCAGCTTCGGTTTGCTGTGATGGAAATCAATGTATGTATTTAAAGAGGATCAGAGAGAGACGGGGGGGGGGGGGGTATAGGCAGAGTTCCCTAGTCCAGCATGGGGAAACTGGGCAGGGCTGACAACTCTGCTTGGGTTTTTACTGCAGTAGAGGCAAGTCAGCTGAAAAGTTAGGATTAAAATATATTTTCCCTAGCTTGCTATATTTTTAGATGGATTAGCGTGGAAATGTGCATGCATTGCAGATACTGTATGTGCTGCATACACTATATACACCCCTCTTAATTCAGAAATTCACTTTTTATTGTCAAGCTAATTTTGCCTGAGCTGGTCAATAAACAAAACTAGGAGTTTCCACTCTGACAAAATTTTATGGTGAAATCGATCTCGCCCCAAACCATTCTACTCAACTCTACACTACACACAAGGAGAGCACTTTTCTTTGAAACAATTTAATACATAATGGCCGTTGTGTTCACAAATTCCAGTAACCGCTAAGATATCACCAACAGCAGGAGAGCAGAGTATCAATAGGAGTCTTTACCATTAATCAACTTAATTAACAGAATAAGTGCCGCTATTGACTGTCATGCAACGTGTAATTGGTCAACATCACTGAACTGTCTTCAATTAACTGAAGGGCTCAATACGGCTAAACGGCACACAATCCTGTTGTGTTATTAAGGGTTCCAGCACACATTAATATTAGATCAGCAGCTGGATGGTAAGAGCTGCATCCAGATTTATAATAACACATACAGTACTGTGTAATATCTGTGGCAGAATTCTGTCCGTGTTAGACTCTGGAAAAGGAACATTTACAGGTCAAGCCTCTCATAACTGATTTTCTGGATATGGGAGTGTCACAGACCAGGGTTCATATCTATTGTTAGAAGGTCAGTCCAATAATTATTATACAGGATTTATATAGCGCCAACAGTTTGTGCAGCGCTTTACAATATAGGGCAGACATTACAATCACAATAAAATTCAAGACAAGATGGTAAGGAGGGCCCTGCCCCTGAGGGCTTACAATCTAAAAGATAATGCACAGTGTACCTAGGGCTGCGTGGAGAGCAGGCGTGATGAAGGCAGAGGCATAATGGAGTCATAGGATGATACTGGATATCCTAGGATCACAGAGTGACACAGGATGCTGTGGGTCACTGGAGACAAGAGATGCTTTGGGGTCACGGGAGACATGGGATTCTGTGGGTCACTGGAGATAAAGGATGCTCTGGGGTCATGGGAGACATCTGATGCTCTGGGATGAGTGGGTGACACAAGCTACTCTGGAGTTACTGGTTGTGACAAGATGCTTTGGGATCGCTGAGTGACAAAGGATACTCTGGAGATACTGGCTGCTACAGGATGTTGTGGAGTTACTGGTTGTTACAGGATGCTCTGGGGTCACTGGGTGACACAGATTGCTCTGGGGTCACTGCGTGACACAGTATTGCTGAGGACCCAGGAATCATAGGAGACTTAGTGGAAGGTCACAGAAGTGCACAGGCTTACAAGTCAAAGGAAGCACAGGAGCGATGGGGTGGGGTGGTGCACAGGGAACATTGGAGACCCCGGAGTGCAGGGGTCATTGGAGGTCATAAATATAAAACTATTGTCAAAATGGATATAAAAGTATCAGCATTAAAAATACAACCAAGTCACAATGCCCAAAAATATATGCCAAAATTGAAATGCCAAGAACTAATTATTCTTGTTCTTCTTGGAGAAATAAGAAGGAATTGTATTATTGTAAGTGAAGCTGGGGACTTAGGGGTCTCAGCAACTCTGAGGAGCATCCTGTAACAAAGACCAGTCACTGCTTCTCTCTTTCCTTGTGCAGGGTGACTGGACTTGTCACCGCCCCCCTCCTGTAGTTTTCTGCAGACAGTCTGTAGTAGGTGGGGCATTCTGGGCCCCTCCCACAGCTGTTCTCTCAGCACAGGTTATGCACAGCACAACGATGATGTCACTACTACTTTACAAGGTAACATCTAGATTTGCAAAGGTATTTTGTGCATACAGAATGGATTTATATATTTTGTGGCTATTCAGGGGTTTAAGCACATGTGCCTTCAGCTTTAACTGTTATGCTGCTCCACAGACCGGATCGATTCTCAGCAGCTTGCAGTCCTAAAATAATCATTTTTGTAGTTTAACTCTTCCTTTGCAGTAGCTGTGCAGTTAATTAGGAAAGAATCCTTAGGGGAGGCTGTGCAGATACTCTGCAGTTCTCTATGCTTTAGACCCCGTTCCAACTTGTGCATTTCTGGTGCGGTTAATGCAGAAGGTTAAAGCAGAAGTCTAATATTTATAATTGTCCTCACACTTAAAATGGCTGTGTAGCAACTGCAAATGTAATTACCCTATAACTGAAGTAGAGTTTCCTTTTAAAAACCAACTCCAGGCACAAGACAAAATAACCATTGCCGTAATTCTCCTCTTCCCTGCATTGCAAGGGTTTAATGGGTACAAGCAGGGGCATAATTGTAGATCATGGGGCCCCATAGCAAAATTTTGATGGGGCCCATTGCAGCCTCTCACTGTTAGTGATATTAAGGTCAGGTAGCAGGAGAGCTGTGTTGTCTCCTCCTGTACATCTGATGTCAGCTCTTCTTGATTGGAAATGTCACAGAGGGTACAGGGTCAACAGCAACTTCTGCAATCCTAATGGGGCCCCCTTCCACTCCCAGGCTCCATAGTAGCTGCATGGGCTGTTATGGCTACTGCTACGCCACTGGGTACAAGACGAGGAGATATTACTTACTATACCTCCCCTTCTAGAAGGCTCCAGTGCTCTTCTCATCTCTCTTATGCTCCCAGCTGTAGGTGGTCCCCTAGCATTATCACAAACAATTCAGGACTATTAACCCAGCATTGTATATGGAGGAGGCAAGTGTGCGACCACGGCCAAGGGATAAGTTAAGTATTACTCTTTATCCCTGCATCACTTGCATTGTCTTGTGCCTGGGGTTGGGCTTTAAACTTCTGTCATAGATTAATTCTTATTTATTTATTACCGGTATTTATATAGCGCCATCAATTTTATGCAGCACTTTACATAGCTGCACATTCACATCAGCCCCTTCCCACAAATTATCAGCATTGTGTTGGCATTATTCTGCTAGATACCAATAAACAAAAACGGGAACTGATGGAAGTGACAAGGTAAATTACTACATATTGATTGGTTAGCAGAACTCCAGACAGCAGCACTTCCTTCTTATAGAACCGCAGAAGTTCCAAACTTGACAAATGGTCTTTTTTTCCAGCTTTCATCTGACTGCCAAAAGGTTCAGAGCTCAAGCTCAGTGGCGTCACAAGGGGGGGGCGCGGCCTGCACCTGGGTGCCACCATTGAATGGGTGACACCAAAATGATTGACAGTCTTATTGGTGTCACCCCCTATGAAAAGTCGGGCACTTGGTCACGGACCGAGAGCCCGACAGTATCAGGAAAGAGGAGGGGACCCGGGGTGAACGTCCCTTCCTCTCTCTGCCGGCGTCCATCACCAAGATGGCCACCGGCAGGCGTCAAAAAGACCACTGTGCATGCGCGATGACATCACGGCAGGGTGTCATGCGCTCTCTGGCCCAGGGTGACACCCAGCCTCGGGACGCCCCTGCTCAAGCTATGACTGTCTTATGATTTTTTATTATTACATGTACATTTATATTGCTGTCAATTTACACAGCACTTTACGTACTAATTACTCACATCACACATCAATCCCTGCCTCAAGGAGCTTACAATCTAAGATTCCTATCCCATATTCCCACATACGAGGGCCAATTTAGACAGGAGCCAATTAAGCTACTTGCATGTCTTTGGAATGTGGGAGGAAAACGGAATCTGGGGAAACCCACACAGGCACAGTGAGAACATGCAGAGCATAGACCTAGAGCAGTGTCTTTTTTCAGATACAGAACCCTTTGAAGTATACAAAATCAAGGTACCCCAGTCTAAAATGTAAAAAACATGGTGGGGCCCCTCCAAAATCCATACTGGACCCTTATCCCTTCATATCAGAATCTCTCTTTTCACATTAGAGCCCCCCCTCACACTAGGAGACCACCTTTATATCAGAACTCCCTCCTTTCACATTAGAGTCCCCCCATCACATCACCAGCCCGCCATCATATCATAAGGCCCCCCCTTCACATCAAGAGCACTCCCTTCACATGACAAGCCCACCTTCATATCATAAGGTCCCCGGCCCGACTGTCCCATGTAAGGTCATGCTGCTGTGCAAACATTTCGAGACCACTGAGGAAGCAAGAAGTCACCCCAGGGTGCTGCAACACCATGGCTCAGAAAGCTTGACCTAGTTGAACCTGGATTCAAGCTGGGACCTCAGTGCTGCAAGACAGAAGTGCTAACCACTGAGCCACCGTGCTGCCCTTACTAAGAAACACAGAGGCTGTGGAGCAGTTGTCTACAGATATGAATCAGATTCCTAGAGTATAAAACGTAAAGGAGCTTTGGCTGCTATAGGCAACAATTCCAGTTTTCATATACCAATCCAACCATAGACAACCAATTGCTGACACCTGGACAAGCTGCCCATAGCACCCAGTAAGGATTAAAGTAGATCTAAACCCTAACTGGATGAGATTAAGTTTGCTACAGCACTGTCTATCATCAACCATTGCCGTTTTTGTACTGTTTTTTCTTTTTTCTATTTTTTTATGATCGGTGGCGCTGCATCTCCTGCAGCCTCACTTAGCCACTTCCTGTCTACATGCACTTGTTCCAGCATAAACTGCACATCATCGCTCTGGGTTGGCTTCCTGGTAATGGCGGATCATATCTGAGGAATGTTTGTAGTCACAGCCACTTGTAGTCTCTACCAGGAGGGCATGTGACACAGTGGCACAGTTAGGAGACAGCTTTCATCCCATAATAGAAGTTCCTGGAGAAGGACATGTTGTAGAATAAACCTATAAATTAGTCTAGTAAAAGATGTGGATCCGCGCTTTATGGGTGGCCCTGATTTAATATCCTGATATTAAACCCTAATAAAGTGCAAAAGTGATAAATTAGTATCAAAACATTTCTGTGAACAGCTGATGACAAATATAAAACTTTAAAAAAAGTCCCAGATTAGAAACCGTGATATGATAAAAAATTGGATCCAATGAACATTTCAAGCAAATATCTCCAATCGGTGCATCAGTTGGTGAATTCTTCCCACACCACGGTGTTTTCAAACTGCCCCCTTTCGGGTGTGTACTCACCCCACGGGTTGAGGTA